CATTGCTAACAGAAGAAATAAACCACTCAACACCATCACAAAACACACTGAAATACATACACACATTTAAAAGTGCTGGCCGTGAAAGTCAGGGCTTTGAGCATGCTAAGTAAATGCTGTACCACTGAGATACACCCTCTGTTCCAATAAAATTTTAAATGCAATTTTATTTTATCTTACATAGGTTTCATGGGTTTTTATATAATATAATGACACTATATTTTAAAATTTCATAAAATTATATTTTTTATCATTTAAATAAGTAATTAACAGATATCTTTATAGCATATTGAATTCATGAACCAAAAATTTACTTAAACATTATTCATTCACTTGTAGCATTTAGGGAATTTTCATTTCTTGCTATCATAAAAATGTTGCAATTTATTATTCTATATGTTAATTTTTCTCCCTTATTCATTTTCCCTTAGATTTCTCAGAAATAAAATTATTGTGTCAGTGGGAGAAAATATTATTTACTCAATTCTCAGTGTATATTAATAAACACTACAATTTTATCTATCAATAAACATCCACTTTGGATATTGAAGGATAGAAAGAAACAATGACAACTTCCCTTCAATTTAAGAACTGGCTCTTTCTCATATCAACAAGTTTTTAGTTTTTTCATATTTCTTTACTTTAGGAGAGCTACTAATCCAAAAACAGTGTGTTTTTGAGATGCACAGTGAAAGTAAAATTATGGAGGAAATACATCATGCTACATACAGATAGAGTAAAGGATAGGAGATGACCATTATCTACACTAAATCCATCCACATGTCACAAGAGATATCTTAAGCTAAATAGTATTTGACTCTAATGCTGTAAATTTTCATCTGACTTAAGGTCCACTGAGGAGTTAATAAAATTGTGAAACATATAAATATAGAAAAGTTGAAAGAAACTTATGACAGCTTTTAAGTGCATGCTACAATATGAGAGTTGTGTAAGAGTGAAAAGAAGAATTAAAGAGGATCTGAAATAAATTATTGGGTGAGAAATAAAATTTTGAAAAGTATCTAGCAGACTCATTGCTAGAGAAAGCAGAGAAACATTGAAAGCTGTTCGAAGTTAGCCCTACTAGGACTTTCATACCATTAAGATCTTTGCCATTGATCCCGCAACAGTCTGCACCTATGATTGAAATCCATGTTGCTTGCATGGTAGAAAACATTTCTTCAAATTCATTAACAAAAAGCATTCTGGGTCCTGAACACCCAAATTCAATTACAAGGTCATAAAGCAATTTTTGAAAATCCTTTGAATGACCACCATCAAAGAAATAGAAAGTTTATTTCATATCCAGCTCAGTAAAAAGATTTTTATCCCATCTCAGTGCCACAAATGCAGTCTCAAAATAAAATATGACATCATGAAATGTTACATTACTTTCTGGACACTGCCTGTATATGTAGATCCTCAACCCTATGACACATCATTAGAATTTAACCATCATTACCTAAAAATCTATTTGTTGTTTTAAATTTTATGACTACATTACACTGAAGGGCTGTTAAACCCCCGACTCTATGTGCTGTTTTTTTCCTATTCTTAATGGAAATTCTTATCAACTCCTTAATCTTGTTATTCTTTAGTTAATCATATTAGTATGCTTAGGATGTTAAATTGAAGGGTCCCTGCTCAACTGCTCAAACATTATATTTTCACCAAGTTGACAGATTAATTTCCAAGAAAAAACCATTAGTAAGAGTCTCCTCCCTGCTATTAATGTGACATATGAAATAAAAATAATTTGTAACAGCTGGTGCAAGATCTTCCAGGGTAACACTTAAGGACAATGCTCAGTGAAACATAAATCCATATTATTGCAATGGAGGAAGGTCTGCTCTACAAAGTTTGAGGTAACTTTTGGAGAATTATCACATCAATAGAATGGAATGTATAGAAAAGAAGAGGAGTTGATTTTAGCCAAGTCCTACAAGAAAGAGAATGGAAACAAGAGAAGTGACTAATGGGGTAATAAGATATTCACTACATTTCAATTATTATGGCCTTTTTTCTACAAATCTTTGCTACTTTGATAAAAATCAATTTAATTTTATGTTTATAGTTGAAAATTACTAGACACTGTAGTTTATTTCAAAGAAATATTAGAAATGCATTTCCTAATACTTTGACAAATCACTTGACCCTTTCAATTGGACACTGAAACTATTTACAGATCAACTTATATGATATCTAATATTTGCTTTTAAAATAATTCAGCATAGGGAAATTGAGAGGAGTAGAAGTCAAATTAGCCCGTGTTCATAATTGTAGGATTAACAGATATAAAGATATAAAAATATCTGTTAATTCTTCTATCTCATGTGTTCATCATCCAAAAATAGTACCTTTTATTTATAGGAAGCACCTGTATAGAATTTATTCAAACCACCCACTATAGATTGAATGTGTCCCCTCAAATTCACATATTGCAGTCTGATCCCCATTGTGATGCTATGTGACTGTGGAACTTTTGAGAGACCATTAAGGCATGAGGGTGGAGCCTTTTGAGTGGGATTAGTGCCCTTATAAATACTCCAGAGAGTTCCTTGTATAAGAAAAAAATTAACTGTGCTGAGGATTAAACCCAGGGCCTAACACATGCTAGGCAAGTGTTCTACCACTGAGTCATACTCCCAGTCCTTATAAGTTTTTTGAGTCATATTTATGAAACAGAAAATGTGTCCTCACCAGTCACCAGTTTTGTAGGAGAACTGATCTTGTACTTTATGATCTTCAGAAATTTGAAAAATAGTTTTGCTGTTTTTGAGCAACCAAAGTTATGGTGTTTTATTAATCCTAAATAAACTAGTACACTACCTCTAATGATAGCATATGTAACATAATATATGTGGAGAGAGAATTAAAGAAAGGAAATATTTCATTTCCTAATATAACAAAAAAACATTTGTCAATAAATCAATTTCAAAGATAAAAAAGAAAAACTAAAATGTCATCCAGATCAAAATATGAACCTAGAGATCAATGGTAACATTTTAGAAGTAGTTGGAAGTGTAGGAATTCTCTGTTCTGATTCTTTCCAAGCATACTGTATCCAAGTATCACAAAGTGAATTTTATTTCACATAGGCAGCATGACTTTTTGTTGATTTGTTATTAAGCATATATTACATGACATTCACAATACTGGCTGCTGAGGGTTCCAATAGGAGAAGAATAAAACCATTCCCTTTTGTGTGGGAGACAGATATTCAAACAAATAGTTCCAGTACACACAGTCAGTAACTAACATAGCAGAGTTATGAATAACACCATGGGAGGAGAGAGAAGAAACACCTAATTCTTCATGGCTGGAACAATTATGACAGGACTGAGACTACAACACATAATTTTTCATCCTGGTTTTTGTCAGAAATCACTTGGTTTAGGGGAAAAAATTCTATTCAAATAAGATTTTTTTTAAAATGCGTATCCTAAGGATACAATTGTAGAAAATATAAAAAATTATCAGACAGCAACTAAATGGCTTCATTCCAGATTATGTAGAGAAGAAATCTTATACATTAACATCACTTCACCCTCAAATACTTTGCTATGGGACAGAGAAAAATGTCCATAAACACCAAGGGCTGGCCCTTTTAGACTGTGGGTGAGGTGTGGTCTCTCAGAAACGAGTTCTTTAATGGTGATTATCTCTTAGTGAGGGGGTGTTACCACTATTTTCTTGGTGAATGAGTTAAGGCAATTAACACAACTCTAACATATAGCTTTCTGAAAAGGCTGAAAAGGAAAACTTTTTAATTGGTAATATTGTTATACTATGCTTAAAGGGTGTTGTTTTTGGGGAAAAATTGCAAGTAATGAAGCACCATAGAGATATATTGTCCTTTCTTGTTTATCAAAGACAGGCTGTTGATACTTTCTCAAAGATAATACAAAACAAAACAAAGCCATCAATATCAACAAAAACAATGGCAGCACAGACACAGGAATAAAGTTCAACTCATTTTAATGAAATTTCGTCAACCATTCCTTAGCATTAATAAAGAGCTAAAAATAAGTTCTATACTTCACATTTCTTAAGCATACAATGATTTTCAAAAAAGAAAGGAATTACCAATTTTGCCTATACAGTTGATTTCAACAAAATAAAACTTGTGAGCAAGCAAGGGTTAAAAAGAAAGTATTTAAAATCAAATATATTTCATTTTCTTTTCCAGGAGCAGTTTGGTTGACACTTTCCTGATTCTTCATACTATAAAAGATATATTCTAAAATAGTTTGCAGCAATAATGAGACCACAGGAGAGATTATGTGTGCAAATAAAAATACAAAAACAAAAAAGACTTGCATAAAAGGAATTGGAAAGAATCTCATGTTGGGGAAGAGATATCTCCAAAACATTGACTAGCCATAAAGAGTTACGAACATATGAAAATAAAGTAATTTTACATGTAGTTTTTTTCTCATTTGTCCCTCATTTTTCATTCTATTTATTTTTACAATTACTATGATTTGCAAGATAAGCCATTAAAACAAATCAAACTAGGTTTAAAAAGGACATCAAAAATTCTGAACACCAGTGAAAGATTAGAGATAAATCATTATTTACATATATCAGTTTATGTAAGTTTCAGAAAGTCATATAGGCAAATCATGAAAGGAAATTTGGGGAATAAAAGAAACTTATGAAAAACCCTATGCCAAAAATCAACTGAAAAGATCAAATAGAATAAAAAGGGAAACCCCTTCAATAGTGAACCTAGGGAAGTACTTAAATCATATGCCACAAACATAAAAGGAATTTTATCAAATATCAAGCAATTTTCATCAAACTAACAAAAATAGTATAATCTAAAACACATCTTTTCTTCTCAGGAAAGCATTTTAATTTTATTTTAAATAATTGGAGAGAATTCTAATGAAGTACATTAATACCTCACCACTTGGAAAAATAAAAGAAAGGATAAAGAAGAAAAAAAGAATGGACCTTATGTATGATAGGAGAGAGACAGGTACCACTTTTCTCACCATTAATCAACAGCTTTCCAAGGGTGTTGCAGATGAGGACAATATGCATATCAGTCTGGAATCCTTAGCAGGAGGCTGGATTTGGTCCATAAATGGATACCTAGAGAGGAAGACAAGGTGGGGTGGATTGTGTAGTCGGGGTTGGAATCATGCTGAAGTCTAAAGTCACAGAAACAACTGACGTGGGGTCATCTTGTTATTGCAGATCAAGAGCAACAAATGATATCAGGAAGAATGTGTGGAGGCTTTTTAAAAAATGCATACATTTTTAGTTTTTTTTCTCTCCACTACGTTCACTGAAATAATTGGAATCCAGAGTTATTCCAAAATGAAATAGCTAGTGCAAAACTAGGGACATCAGAGGACAATAGTTTCTATGAACATAGAAAAAGAGTTTTCAAAGACAAGTTTCTTTAACTATGAAAACTGATGGCTGCACTTTGTCCTCATGTCCCATAGCTGCAGAATAATTGAGAAGTATCCTCCAGTGATCTCCAAGGAATAAGCAAAATAAATACAGAGACTGAGTAGCATGACTACATTATTAATTCTGGATAGACCAAGGTCCCAATTAGATATGTACAAACAGAAAAATAGTAGAAACTATACATGACTTCTACAAATGAAGAAGTAAAGACATCAATAAATAGCTTGTCCTGCTAATGATATTCCAGAATCCAATGGCGGTTTTACCGTCAGCATTTTTTTTTTCATTAATTCTGATGCCAGAAAACACTATGTAGTCACTAAAGGCAGCCACCCTTTAGAGACATGGCAACATAAATCCTCAAGAGTAGCTAAGTTCAAAATGTGTGCTTGAGGAAAAGGGGTTTAACAACAACTTTTTTCCTTAGAAATAACCAATCAGAGCTACTCTGAGAATTGTTTCTTGACAATAATTGCCTGTCTGGGAATACAATAAATCCATTCCTATTTCAAAGTTTCAAAGGAAAGTTGTCTGTGAGGTAAACTGGGGAGATAAAGGGAAGGGAAATTTTGACAGTGAGTCTTATATCAACTTCAACATGGTATCCTAAAACTGATTACTGGGAGATAGGGGGCTTAATAGACAGAGTGAATATCCCATAGAGATCAGGATCTAGTCTATACCCCTACATTATGACCTTAGATTCAAAACCAATCACTAGAACCTTCTCTGATGCAGTGGCTTCCTTGGCCACTATGTGAGATAGGCAAGGGAACCAAGATCTGGGCATTGGCATTACTCACCAGGTACCCAACTCATTCTTACTTCCTACTCATTGTAGAAATATATTGAACCTCCTTGAGTAATATTGTACTCCATTTCCCTGTGTCTTATCTTAAAGGAGTCCCAAATACATAATAAAAGAGATATTATTTCATATATGGAACTGTTATCTGAAAAGAACAAACAGAGGGGTAGAGGGTGCATGCAGTTGTAAATATTGAGGCAGGATTAAGGAAAATAACTACACTTTGGATTATACAGCTATAGCAGAAGCCATATTCTCTATGTGTCCAAAGAGTATGACTTTACATATCAAGATGTATTCAACAAACAGAAGAAATTATAAATGTAACTTCTTTGATTTTTAATGAAGTTCAATATATTAAGGATCTTTTATGAATAAGATGGGAAAAGGAGACAAATATCTCCAAGAAAGGCTTTGCAAGAACTAGGATAAAGAATTTAAGGATAAAGGATATTCAACTCAGTAAGAAAAAAAAACTATTAAAAAGAGGACAAAAACCTTGTGTAGGCACTTCACAAAAGAATATATCAAAAAGGTGATTAAATATATGAAATTTGCTAAACACTATCAATGACTGAAGGGAAACATCATAATAAAGTATTATCACACGCTAAAAAAAATGTCTAACATAAAGGAGATCAACAGTAAAGAAGTAGGGCAATAGGAATGTTCATACACTACATAATGAAGGGTATCAATATAACAGTGCAATGATATTAAAAATCAATTACTTTATTGATATAATTTATCAATGCTATGTATTCATATGACCTATGACTCAGTAGTGTCATCCCTGGGAAGTTACACATATACAAAATAAGACATTTAGAGAAATGCAGAGATTTATTCATAATGGTTCCAAACTGAAACAAAAGAAATCTCCATCAACAGAAGGGATAAATTTATGCAATGAGACTAGATATCGCTGAAAATAAGCAAACAATTGCTACATTAAGAAATCTCACAACTGTAATATTAAGAAAAAATTGTGAGATACAAAATAGGATACATTGTATAATTCTATCTATGTGAAGTTCAAAAATAGGCAAAATTAATCTATATACAGTAGAGATCAAAGTATTTGCTGCCTTTCAGAGGTGGTTCTACAGTATTATACATGTATAAAGACTCACCACCTCGAGATATAAGATTTGGGAGCTTCACTGTAAACTATGCCAAACTTAATTATAAAATCAAGAAAATTTATACAAGTAAAAAATAAATTATGTTAGAAGAACAACAACAAAAAAATGACCAGAGAAGCAGAAAAGCTTAAAATCAATATTGCAGAAAAATAATTTCATATAATCAAATTCTCCATAATATAGTAGGGAACAAAAATGAAGCCATAAAAGAATCTATGAGAAGATAAGAAATATGGAAGGAACATAATGATGATCCAATCACAAGATAATTATGGTTTTTTGGGGACAAAAAGAACAAGTAGAATTGTGAAAATTGCCAAATATATAACAGATGGAATCTTGTTGAAATGACAACATGAATCTTCAAATCAAAAGCATTCATTGTGTGATCAGCAAAATTAGAAAGTACAAAGGACCTACTAAGATTAGTAGAGTAGTAAATTTTACAGATAAATTAAGGATTTTTACAAGCTTCTGCTCTTCAGCATTATTCACCAGAAGTCTACATTCATTCTTGCTCTTCCACAGAAACACAGCAGAACAAAAAGATGAAGGACAGAAATCAAGCAAATGCCAGACTCCCCTATATTCAGTATAACACACCAGATGAAGATTGAAGGGTACTTGTGCCAATTGACATTTGCTTAGCAAAGCAACAGAAAGTCTCAAATACACAGGAAAATAGACACTATCTTCATCTTTCCCTTTTCATAGGATGGGAGGATGATCATCTGAAGAAATCTAAGTTTGGGTCCAAATACAGAACTAACGATTTTATAAATGATCTTAAAAATTTATCTATAACAGTTTGGTGTATGGAATTGCTAGTTGGGATTATAATAAGAGTTTAGGTAAATTGCAGAAGATTTTTAGTTTAGATTATGTTTAATGTATAATTTTTTAAAAATTCTACATTGTGGATTTTTGGTGTGGAGGGTCAGTGGGAAGGGGTGGGAAGGAAAATGAGCACATTGCAACTCTGTGTACAGAACACAGCTCCATCTTACTTTCAAGAAATTTGATTTCCGGTATTAAAAGACAGCAGAAGTTGTTCCACAGGTATTTGCAGCAGATGGTAATTTTATGGGATGTCCATAGGTTTTGTAACTTGAGAGTAAACTCTGTTTAATGAGAAACTTTGTGACTTGTAGAAGAAAGGAAATGACATCTTCTTACCTGCCCTTTGTAATGGTCAATTTTATGTGTCAGTTTGACAGCCCAGAGATGTCCAGCTAGCTGTTACCATGTAACATATTTTATGTTATATAAAATTTAATGTGCAAAATAATAATTTTAATCTAATAAATTTAGGTACACATCTCAGAGAATATCAACAAAATCCATTATGTGGAAGGAGAAAGAATTAGAGAAAATATAAGTGTGCTAATTGTATAAAATTCAAAGAGTAAATTTAATACTCTTTGAATTTTATACAATTATGATGTTTTCTCATAAAACCATCCAGAGGAAGAGTCCCTATCTCTTGATTAAAAAAAATAAAAAATGAAATGAAAGTCATGGTCTTTATATAAGCAGCTTTAGGTCCTGTCTAGCCCTAAGCCAGTCACCATAGCCAGAGAGTTTATACACACTAATGGTTTAAGCCTGGACTCTCTATCACTAAAACAAATATTGCTGCCTAGAAGGTAGTATATGCTTCTTGATTGGTGCTATTTTTTGTTAAGTGTCAGAGTTAGAGTCAATATGATATATAACAGTTCTTTCATTCCCAAGTTAAGAAACAAAACAAAAAATTAAACACAGGTAATAGATATACAGACAGGGAAAAATGTCAGCCCTTTGACTCATTGGCTGAGTAGGGAACATAGTTTAGATTACATCCAAAGAGGATGCTAACATTTCAGACAAATATTTCTGGAGATCCTTGCTGATGCAAAGCCTGCACCACTAAGTTGGTCTTGTGCCTCCTTGCCAAGGGGGAGAAAGTCTAATAAGAAGAAAAAAGACTGAGTGACAGCTATCCATTTCTTCTTGCAACTCATTATTGAATATCACTCTATTTCCACAGGAAGGACAGAGAGTGAGGAACCAGTAGGGTTACTCCTCATGAAACCTCTCCAGGTGAAAAAACATAGCCAAGAACTGGAAGATTCTTCACTCTCCTCCCTGGCAACAATGACGATTATTTTGGATAAGGGCCTAACTCCTCCAAAGCCACATAGTTGGTAAATCTGAAGTCTTTTTCACAATGTGTATAGAGAGAATCAATGTCAAGGAGTCTACTGACTCTCTCTACCATGAATGGCATGAGAATATAACAGAAACTTCTTGAAAAACATGGCGACACATGCTTCTCACTTAGCTCTCCCCACCAAATCTGACTAAAGTGGGGCTCACATAGTTTTTTAAAACAATGAAAGCATTAACTCACAAGGATGAAGAAAACTACAAAGGAGATAAAAGCCCGCTAATGAGGGCAATAAAACTTTGAAGACTGGCATATGCATGGAATAATAGGAATACAAAGGTAAGTGCCTTCTTGGGAAGAAGCCAATTTAAGGAGACCGACTTATGTCATAAACTTTTAGAAAGGCTCAGAACTGAAGATGCCCATTGTATCCACAAAAATTTGGCATGTAGGGCTCAAGATAAAACAGAAAGACTAATAGAAAGTCCAAAATGAAAATATTAGGACTGCCATTGTCATTTTGAGGCTATGGAACAATACTGTATTCAGCTCTAAGATTTCTGGAGAAGCT